CGAACTGCAGCTCAGATAAATGGCAGGCTGTAAAACGCCAGCTTTATGCTGAACGCCGCCATGCAGGATGCTTTAACGTATTTTCTTTTTTCCGTTCACGCCTGTGTGAAGAAGCCCTGTGATTGACGGACAAAGGAGCTGCGATGGCAGCAAAGACAACTTACCCCCGACTTATTCCTTTCTCCCAACTGGCATTCCACACTAAAAAGATATACACTTCAATTATACATGGCCGACCGTGGGGGTGAAAACTGCATGCTTTGCCAGAGAAATGATCAATATTTCAGCTCCGAGGGGACCAAACATATCGTGGAGCAGCTGCTGCTTAACAGCCTTACACAGCAGAGTGGCACATCCCCTAATACGCAGCTCTATACTGTGGGTGTGAGCGTGTATGACTGAGGGAACTCGAGGGCCATGAGAGCTACTGCTGAGGTGACAGTGGGGAGGAATGAGGGCCTCAAAGAGGTTTTAGCTGTGTGCGTGCATGTGTGTGGCTCATTTCTCCAGTGTGTGGTGCGTGCCAGTATTTACTGGAGACTTACTCGACTGTTCTTTCTTCAGTCCTATTTTCGTGTCTCTCTTCGATCCACACACAAACTCGCCGCACAAAAAGGCGACGGCATGCAGAGAGCTTGTCCCAATATTTCTGCTATCAGCTCTCCCGGCGGTCCACGCTGTGTGTAGGTTTGCTGAGACGGAGAGGAAGGAGAGATATTCTGCCTGTCGTGTACTTTGTTGTTCCGGGCTTTGACGTGTCAATTCCATCTTTACCGCTTTGTGTGTCTGAAGTTTGGCAGAGTGCCACAATTTTCTTCCTCTGCTGTATGTTTCCGGCGGTTGTTGTGATGCATCTCCAGCGTTCAGCCATTACCCAAACGTTTATCTGCCAGGCATTTTAGACAGGATTTTTCAAAATGTCAGGAGACGGAGACCTGTGTGACCACCTAGACTTTGCTCAGCGATCGTTTAGATCTGTCGCAGGCAAAGCTGGGGATTTGGGAGAATTTCGTTGAAGTCAGAGAACAAAGCTGTGGACATTACAGACGCTCAAACTTAAATTGAGAAATGTGTGGTGGTGGAGGGTGGAGGGTGGTGGATTTTGAGAGTCAGTGTTGATGCTGCAATGTGATAGTTTATAAACCCAACGTTGCTTAAAGGAAAAATGTGAGTTACGATGTTGTAATGTTATCGTATTAGTTTCTCATTTGCCTCGGATTCCACTTGTCTGCGATCCAGGGCGTTTAACCTGCTGTGACACTCGTAAATCTGAATCAAATTTCTTTCTCTCCCAGGACTGTAGGCAGTTTCCAAGATCCCCTGTTCCTCCCATACCAATTTGGAGGCAATATCCATCTTTCTCACTGTCAATCTACTTCAGATTGGATATGTAGGGACACAGTGTTCTTGTGGGTCTTCAGATATGTGTGTTTATATCTCAGTCCAAATCTTAGAGAACATAGAAAATGGAGGATAGACTCACAAAGGGCCAAGTAAGTGATAACCGGTGAACAATTGCCAAAAATCCCTCAAGGTTTTCTCAAATACAACTTCAATCTTTCATTAGTAATTTAGTAATTAACTTAACAAACCGTTAGCAGCATTGTTGTTCCCGTTATATTTTTGGGTGGCTTGGGAACTTGGGGTTGTAACTGTAATAGTTTTACAGGGGTAGTGTGCCAATTTTTGCTCAAGGCCAAATTTCAGCTGCAACAGCAACAATTTACTCCAATCCACTACAGCAATATAGTTAAAAAAAAGAAGCACTTTGTCTTTTTGGAATACACAGCTGGCATTGAATATTAAATTGTATTACATGTAATGTTTCTTTAAATACAGTTAAGTTGGTCTGCAAAAATACTGAAAATATTTTCATTTGCACTCGTTTGTTAGAAAAGAAAGCTCAAAACAAGAGTAATTCATTCATGTTTTAAGTTTTTACATGAAGCTGCGTGATTGTTTGGAAATTACAGTAATTTTTCATTCAATTCCTGCTCTCTGTGTTTAACATTTCTGGTCCTTGATGTGTTATGTCTGTTTGCGATCAGTCCAACAAAATGTTGACTGTATAAAACCGGTAAAGGCACTCCAACGTTCCATGAAAATATGAGACTGCTCATTTCATTATGGCTGTGCAGTATCCTTAAAATGTTGTGGATACTCAGAGATTCCACATAATTGGGCTCCTCTGTATTTGCTGTGGTCCTTTCATCTTTGGCGGCTTGTCCTCCACCTGCTTTCTTCCCTTTTTCTTTTTCTTCTTGTTTTGTCCTTATGACATATCAGACAGAAATGTTTTTTTTCTTCACTTCGACCGCATTGACACCCAAGGCGACACAGGATTCGCCGCCACCATTAATGCAGACCGTGTCTCTTTTTTCAGTCGCTCAGGTGACAGAGAGGAACACCTCCTCTGACCCCGGCCTCTCAGGCAGCCCCGTATCCCTTCATGCTTCAGGGTTTTATGAGCAGTCCCCTTCACTCACACGTCTTTGATGCTTCCAAATGGCCGTCTTCATCCACTATATAGACGTTGAGGAGTGTAGTAGTGTAAATGTCTAGACGGATGATGCTTTAATTAATTTAGCAAAGATTTAGAATTAACAGCCACTTGACTAGAAATAAAACTGCTCCCTTTGCCACACATCTGTCAGACTGAGTGATCATTATTATGTATGTGTTAGTTAAAGAGACTTGGAGTGCATTTTCCTCAGAAATTTCATTTAAGTTGTCGTCGAACTTTACATTGTCATTTAAGTTGTCGTTTGGTGTAAGGTGTTAACAGGACATGAGAAATCTGGCAGTTACAGGCCTGCAGATGTGTGCTCAGACGGGCATTAAGCAAAGATACTGTTAAACAGTAACTTAATGTCTGCTGTTGTACAGCATGAACGTTTTATCTCAGTTCAGCTTGTTTTTTAACATGTTGAATAAAAGTCAAATTGGTTTGTCGTTATATCAGAGGTGTGACAGGTGAGCGAAGAGCTCCAGTGAAAGGTTACAGTCTATTTACAGTCGAAAAAGCTGAAACCCAAACAATGTGGAACAAAGCTGCCCATGTTAGGAAGCCTTATGAGGAGAACCTCAACTAGTAAACGAATTGTGCCAAGTATAATATATAGAAAAATAATTATCATGTATTTTCAACAGCTACCATTAATTAAGTTCTAATCCTGGCAGTGCAGTTTTATGTCCCCCTCCTCACCTTTTGCAAGTGGGGATACTGGAGAAAAGACAGATATCAGGAGAGGAGGGAAAGTAGAAAAGTGCAGTGACTGTGGAGAATTTAAGCCATGTGTCGAGATTTGATCGTCTCTGGCATTTAGACCGATTCTCAGGTGGGAACGGCATGGCTGTCTCCCTTTTCATGCTTCTGAACAGCCCCTCTTTCCCTCTTTTAAGCGTTTGTTGATTTTGAAAAATAAAGTGTCCCGTTATGAAGACCTTTGTTGTGTGACCCTTGCTCTTTAAATGATGAGATATGGACTCAGTAACATTCAATGTACACACAACAAAGCTGGAATTTTTCAGTATCACCCACATCTGGAGACAGTCGATTTTCACATTTTCTGCTGCTTAGCAGAAAAAGACTCATTCAGGTTACAGTGATCTTCACTATAGACAACTAAGTCTCTATAAGAAACACACAATAAATCAGCACAGCGTGGTTTTGTACAAAGTCCCAGCCAGAATTGCTGTGATTGCCATTTTGTCGCTTGTCTGCAACCTTGGAGCTACAGTGGTTTATTTTATTCCCCGCTACAAAAAGTTGAGATTTGTCAGGATGTTGTGTTTGATTCAGTTGTCTTAAATATAGAATGCATATCAGTTCTATCTGAATAGCTGCAATCCAGTGACATATTGGCCATAAGGGAGCCTGAAGCCCCTGTCCTTGTCATTTTATCTGCCTCTCTATCATCACCGCTGCCACCTCTCATCTGTCCTGTGCTGGTGACAGTCATAGAATTTCACACCAAGAGGATTTGTGATGCTCACACCCGCTGATTCTGTCCCTGTAAAACGACTTGCTGTATTTCTTCTTCTTCTGCTCCATCTCCCCTCTGTCTCTTCTCCTCCTTAAGGCATTCAATATGCTGCCAGAACTAGTATCAAACATCTTTATATACAGTGTATCGCATCAAAGCGTTGCAGCCGAGAATCAGCCTAAAGCATGTGCTGGTTTTACTTCTAAGCCTTCATGAACTGAGTTAGATTACAGAGTCCTATGTTAAAGGCACGTGATTAACAACAAATACACAGGCTATAGAGCAGAGGCTTATATGTAAACTTGCATGATGCAAGGGTCGTTTGCATTTACTGTAGGTACCTACAGCACATATCACATGCATGAGTAAAACGTGACTATCTCAGACATAGGCACATGGCCTTTTCTCAAATACCGAACAACCACTTGGGATCCCAGCCCGTCACATGTCGAAAAGCCCAGTTTGCCTTTCTTTTGAGAAGCCTCCAGAGGTGGAAAAGGTCCATGCCAATAACATTTGAGCTACTCTGACTCTTTATTTGTAAAACTAAGGCACATTTGGTGATTTTAATTGTACGCAGTGCCTGTGATTTCCCTCTCTGCTTGTCCGAGATCCTGGAGGTCTAGTTTTTCAATGACCCCCCCTGGATGTCCTGAGCACTATGAGAGGGTCTTAACAGCTTCTGAACTGAAAGACTCATTATTGAGAGACTGTTTATGTCTGAAAGTGTGAGGTCATTAATTCTGAAAGCAAGTTGTAGTTTTTTAGGGTTTATTCATCATTAGAGCGCTTTGAAATGGCTAAAAAACTTCAGAGAACGTGTTTGGTCCAGGCAGAAAAGCTAGCAACTTTAAGGGCAGTAACTTTCTGAGCACTCGAAGGTCCAGTCAACTGGCTTAAAAAGTGCACACCTGAGTAATTCCAAAATATGTAGTTGAGAGTTGAGAGCTCTGTCATGAGGGTGTTTTAATCTCCCTCTTGTTGTTCTTGTTCAATTCTTCCGTCTTTACTCAGGTTGCGAGGATTGGACATTTACCACCTGGAGAGTCGCTGGCTGCCTCGCTCACAGTCACTGTAAAGTCTGGCTGCTCATTAGTGCCGTCGTATGCGGCTGGTTTTGTAGCAGATGCTTGCTGTTTGTCTCTGTGACGTGTCCCAGTGTTCCGGTGACACTGAAGGAGCTGCATCTCACAGCAATGCCTTCACATCCAGCCCTGTTAAAAGGCTGCAGCGCTGTCTGTCAAATGGTTAATGAACCTGAGTTCAGATTTTCACTTGGTATCTGAGTGGAAGATTACATGTACATGTGGGAAAAAAAAGCCAAAAACATAAAAGAAAAAATAACAACTAAAAGTGCATTAGATAAAAGCAGATTTCGGTCATAAGTAAAATTGTGTTTCCTAACTACTCCCCACAGATGGACGTATTAAGCAGAGCAAGAAGCAGAGGACCAACTCCTAAAGCCCCTTTCACGCCAGTCAAAAACCCATGAAAAAAGTTTTTTAGGCCTCTTTTCTGGTCAAACCGTGAATGCTGCTGCTTCCGTCAGCAACTCGAGCCACAATATTTTCAGCCTGAAATTCCACACGTGTCCGTTTAAGGAGAACTTGAGCGTTGTTCGGTAGAGGTCTGAGTTCGATTAGACTCAGTTAAATGAGATGAACAATAGTGATAGACATTAACTGCTCAATAACAAATAGAAAGGAGCCCTGTTGTTTCGGCAGACATCTAAAATCGTAACAGGTTTTGCTGCTTTTTTCGAGCTTTGACCTCGTCTCCCAGAAAATTGGATTTGTTATGAATTACGAGTTATTCTGTTTTATTCATGTGTCTTTTTGCCTTTTGCCAGAGACTGGATAAAAATCAAACCAAACCTGTATCAAAGTCGTGGAGTGGAAAGGGTTGGTAAAAACTCGAGCTTTGATTCGGAAATCTGTCGTGATAAATGTCAACATCTGGACCGATTCCAGACTCTGGCCACTGTGCAAATTCTGTATTAGCACAGTGGAGAAAGACTTGGCTGACCGAGACAGATCCCTCCCATAATTCTTGCTTGAACATATTTGAATGAAAAATTCAATTTGAAATGTGGGATTTAGGTTGGAGGGAAAAGGAACTTTGTAGAAGTAAAAAAATGTAGCAACGGACAACACGGCGTGGAGGATATTCTTACCTGCTCTGCTCTGCTGTAAGAGTGCCAGTGTGAGTTCACCACCTCAGAGAGACTGCATATACTTCAGCTGAGAGTGTTGCATTCAAGGCTGCTGAAAACCACGGGTGAATTTTGTACACCGTACCTATTTCATGAATCCTGACATCCTTGCTGGCAAGGCAGACGTGGGTGGTTGTGGAAAGAAGTAGATGGATGAGTAAATCAGACAATGGTTCGACGAGTATTTTTATTCCCTGTGTTTTGACATTTGTATTCCAGAAAATAAAGCCTGATGTGGCCAAAATGTGAAATCCCTCCGAGGGCTGAGAGTTAAGTTTCTGGCTCTGTGGCTGATTGCCTTCTATAAAGACGAACATACTCTAGCACAGTGGGCTTGAAGAAATTGGTTTCGCATTTCAAGATAGCTCAAATCTTCTTATTCTTTTTTCTGATGACACTATCATGTTCCTCTTTATGGTATTGAGAACTAACAGGCTTTGTGCTCATGCTCCTGTGGATCAGAGAGAATTTGCTTGTCTATTTATCATATTCGGGCCTTTGTACATGGTGACACTGGCACAGGAAGCCTATTATTTCCAGTTTAAGCACATCAGAGACTGTATACAATTGTATCTACCTGGCACGGACTACAAACGGGCTCCCAAATGGTTTGGCTGTCTCTAGACATGTTAGAAATAGCAGGTCAACCCCATCTGAGGAGTCTTCTCATGCATACATACTCACATGCTGAATGGGAAGGACATTTTCTTGAGCTACTTATCGAGCCTGGGTTTAGTGTTTGTTTTTGGATACCTGCAGACTGGAGATCCACACTCATGTGCTTGGTTTGCTCATATAATGAACGTCAGCACAACAGCTGGATGAAGGAGGGCTTTATTAATATCTCATGTAACTGTAGTAAAGGTAAAAAAAATCTGCCATTGTCGCACATACTGCGCCTGTTTTCGATTCAGCACGAGAGTTGTTATTTCGTCAATTGTTGAGCAATTTTACCAGCTCAGAAAAAGATAATTATCCTTCGGTAACACCCACACACCATGTGTGTGGAACATTTACAGATCATATACATATAGGAGCCATTGTATATGTGCATATCGTGCCCTGTTTGGAGAACATTTGCTCTGTAGCACACAACTAAAAGCAACTTCGGGCAGCTGCATTCTTATCACTTTCTTCTTTTAAATCTCCACTCGTATCAGGTTACTGTTCAGGATTTTTGGTCACTGTTGATCTGTGTTCCTCTGTTTCTACATTTCTCCATTTTTTTTACCTGAGGACGCTGAGGACTCGTGCTTGTACGAGTGTCTTACACAAAAGAGAGCTCTGAACAGACTCAGACTACAACCGACACCCCCCCCACATGTGTAGTCATGGCAACTTTCAATTTATTCTAATGGTTCACTTTTTGTGGTCTATTTCTGTTAATTCTCAGTGTCCTCAGGAAACTGGAAATCACAGTCCCAGTACGTGCGTGTTATGTTTTTCATTTTGATTATCCTGAAATGACAGAAACAGTAGAGACTTCAAGCCGAGCTAGGTGCAGCGGGAATGAGCACCATCTGTGTTTGTTTATAGGTCATTTCCCTGAAGTGATTCTCAACATGCTGTTTATTGGTCATTATTATTATACATGTCACATATTTCATCTCTTTTTCTGTGACACGAGAACAAGAGTTTACAGTTTGTGGGGCCAAGGTCCGCAAATGAGGGAAATCAATTTATATTTAATTCCGTTCAGCTTTTTCTGAATTGTCACTTAATATATTCAAGACTTTTGAATGAAGTATCGAAAGTAACATGACTAAATAAATAAAGTTGCATAAATGTTTGAGTGCAATCAACTAATCTATAACCTGCTGTATTTAAAATTTTCACTCAGGCTTTATGACAGAATTTTATTCCTCTCACTGTCTTTCCAATCATCTTCACCTCAAAATAACATTTTTAACTCTACTACATTAGGCTCTAAAATGCCTTCATAAACTGATTTTCGTTGTTTATCTGACACCCTTGATGCGCCCAGTCAGATAGGCTGCAGAACAGCTCTGTATAGCAGAGCCGTTCTTCTCTATTGGCTCCATCTCAATTGTCAATTAGATCCACTTCGTTGCCAATGAGCTCTTTTTCCATTTTCCTCCGATTTCTGCTACCCAGAAAGACATGATCCCAAAAAGACGGTGGCTCATCTATGAAAGTTTTTTCCATCATTATCATCACACCCTGCTTTCAGTGGCTGTGTCCTCCTTGGCTTTGAGGGCGCTCTGCTTGATTTTGGCCCATATTATAACATCTGCAAATTTGCTCCAGGTCACCCTGAAGTTCTTTAAATATCTTCCACTGACTTTTTCCACAGTCTGCACCGATATGAACAGACATGTGCCACTGGCTTTAAGGGCCATGTCCTGTAACTGTTCTATCTGCTTTGAGGCTGTGAAAAGTGATGAATACAGTCATGGATTTGTTTGTTCTTTGGCCATTTGATATTAGGTTTTTACAATGAAAGCATTTCATCTTTCATTTCAGCCATAGTCAGAAGTTAACACTGATCACAACACTCTCGTTTCCACAGGTGCTGTACTTCCACACGTCTTTGCTGTTGCCCAGCACGCTGCTGGTTCTGGAGCTGGTGTCATTGTTGCCAAAACCAGACGGCTCCCATCAGGCTCTAGGGAGGGGCTTCACTGTCCTGGAGCTTTTTGCCAACAGGCCAGAGAGTCCAATGTCTGATGGGGACAGAAGGTGATTAGCCTATTCTTAATTACCGCAGCCAGGGATTAATGAGGTTTCTCATGAGGAGATTACTGCAGAGCAGGTATATTTATAATGAAGCTGACACGTCTCGTCCAGCCAGTTTGTTTGTTCTGCAGCCCTGTAGCTTCTCTGCCGATGTAACATCATGTGACATATTGAATAATATAGTCTTTTCATTACATCCAGAGCATCCATTTGACATTTTACAGCTACATATATCTATATATATATAGATATATGTATGTATTTGCCTCCATGTCATAATCACCATTGATCCCCAAGTGATCACATGATGCATATGATTGGATACAACCATACCACTTGTCACTTAAAAAGACCTGCTGAAATATTCATACGTTCTTTGCCCAGATTTTTTCTCAGAATGTCTGGGTTTCAAGTGCAGAGAGTTGTTCCCATCACTTTTGGGCTTGTTTCTGGATATTGATCCTCTTGTTGCTATGATTCATCTCCCATGTGTGCTACTGTTTTGAGTCGTTTTGCCAGGTTGCTGTTTTGATATGCCTCAGTGTTTCCATGCTGCCTCTTCAGTCAGACTCTCATTAAGTGGACTCAACCCAAGTCCATCTTCCTGGACAGCAGCTGGTCTTGTCAGCTATTTCACCATGAGTAGACTTAATGGGCTTCTTGTTTTGCACTACAGCCACAATTAGTTTTGAGTAGCCGCATATCGACTATCTCTTCACCAGCTGCACGGTCATGCTGGAACAATCCTTTAGTGCACAGTGGATTTCCAAGAGCAATTCACTGGGCGTGATCAAACTGCATTCCAAATGGATAGAGGTGGGTCTTGTTAGAGAGGCAGCTTAATGACAAAGAGGTCCATCACAACAGCAACATGACCTGTGTGCAGGCTACAGAACACTGATTTGGCTGCTTGAAAAGTGGCAGAACTTTACAAATTAGCATATGTATTTCAACAATCAGCTTATCAAATAGCAAAAATGGTCAGCTGTGTTCATTATGCCTTGTTTGAATTTATTTCATAGGTTGAATCTATGCCATGGATCACCGAGAGGCCTGCTCCATCCCCTGCTGAAGGACACTGGTGACTGTGAGGACCATTTTTTTATACACTGTTTGGAAAGTTATTCTCACTAAAGTTATTCAGCCCAAAAAAGAGTACATTGCAATATAGGTAAGGTCTACTTGCAATTATTTCCAAACTGCATGAGCTACCAGGGTCTTCTTAGGTGAAAACTGTGAAAACTACAGGGTCTCATTGTTCACCCATACTTACAGTTTTAAAAGCAGCAAATCTGAGCTTTTTTCTCTACAGAAGCAGGTATCTGAGAATAAAGGTTTTTTTTGTGAATAGGTAGATAAAAGATAAATGATAATGCAGAAGAAGAAAGAAAGAAAAAAAATACATTTTAAGGGTATTAATGTAAGGATTTAATATCAGCTATTTTGTTTTAAATGGGCTATTATTGAAATTCTTTGTCTTTAGTCCCCTTCCATACAACACGAGTCCCAGAGATTGAAGTGCTGTTACATTCTAAAATATAGGAGGCATAGTTTTACTTTTTTTTCCCCACACACGTCTAAAAAAATCTTGACCAACCCATTCACAGTTGGCTATTGAGCTATGTTTTAGAGTATTTTGGTCAGTACTTTTATTTCCCTTTCATATTTCTTTTTAAAAGCCAGTTTAGCTGTTCTTCTTTTGTGCCCCCCCCCCCCGCTAAAGCATTTGGGTGTTCATGACTCTTTTTTGGATTATTCTTGAAAAAGTCGGTTTCACCTCGGTTTAAAAATTTGAGGAGAAATGTTGAATTATTGAGTTTTCTTCGGAGCTTCTTGGTTGACATAAATGCATCCTTGGGTGGCTTAAAACCTAGGCTATGAATTACAAAACGCTGTAGTGCCCGATCGTATGAATAACACTGTGCCCAGTGAGAGCCTGTCTGGGCTATCATGTAGCATGAATATTATAAAACCTGCTCTCCAACAGCATGCTGAATTATTAACCACGAGCCTGTTGTTTAGCGGGATGTTTCTTCTGTGTTTCCCCTCTTTTTGTGTCCCTTTTATGGTAAATTTGTAAAAGTCGGTTTCACCTCGGTTTAAAAATTTGAGGAGAAATGTTGAATTATTGAGTTTTCTTTCTTTTATTATTTGAAGAAGAGAGAATTATCAGGGGGGATCAAATCTAATATGTGCACAAGTAGCTTTGTGCTGTTGTTTTGTCAGAAAATGATGTCAGATAGAACCCATTTTCACACATCTTCCCCATTAATATCAGACCTATTTCAAATGTTATGTGAAGTCTTGTATGGATGAGCATGTGATGTGAGGTCCATAATACATGTGCACACGCATAATTGATATGCTGTGGACAAAATACAAACTTTGATAGCACGTTTAGACTAAGAACAACTTTTTCAATTAGCATACTAAACAGCCACGCTTGTGAACATCTCTGCTGTAGTTTTTCTATTTTAGCCTCAAAGCCACTTATGTTCATCAAGTGAGTTCAGCTGTCACTTTTTTTTAAGCATGCAGCATTACATACTGTTGCATTCATTAGCTAAAGCTTGGATCACACTTCCATCATTTCATTACACATGGCAACCACTGATCACATGGGGGGGTTAATTGCAATGAGGCTGTCAAAGTTAGACGTGCATATGTATAAAATCATGTCGTGTTTCCTGGTTTGTCAAAAGATGTGTCAGGTTGTAGAACATCAAACAGCTGTTACACACTGTTATACGTCGCGTGGAAGTGCATTTGGCGCTATGTAAATGTGGGAAAGATTCATTAGATTTTCTATATTGTGCAACCACAACCATGTGAGGGGCTTGTTTTAAAACTGCACCTCTCACAGATGCTGTTATCCAGCTGATGTGGGTTCTTTAATAAAACATCATTTGGTGCGAAGATGCTCCTCATGTAAAAACTAAAGGAGTGAAGAAATGTCAAACAGCGAGCCTTGGGAATGTCCACCACAGATGAACAGCCTCTAGGCTACATACCCTCATTGAGTTAAGCACAGTTTTAAGCTCTGTGAGCATGTGCCAGAGATGGTAATGTACCCCAACAAAGGACCAGGTTCATGGTTTTTAGTGCAGAAGATGGTGGATAGGTCAGATCTTTAGTTTCTCCGAGAAGTGTCGTATGTCAGTCTGTCCGTTTATTGGATATTGATCTGGCCAATGGCGAGGGGCCATTAAGTTTGATGTCCCCTTGTGACAGTTCTGGTAAAAGTTGATTAGTCTTCAGTATTACAGTGGAAGCCATCAGGATTACAGTGGAGTGCGTTTGTTTCACGAAGAATGAATAGATCAACTTTCTAAAACACAAAAAAGCCCAGTCTGAGTGCACATGCATTAAAATTTCCAAGTCAAGTTTCAGCCTTGAGGAATTTATCGATCAGAATGTTGCAAGTGGAGCCTTCTTGAAAGAAAATTTTCATCTGTGGATTTACTCCCAGTGATTATCTTGTCATTTCAATGTTTGATGAGCTATACTTTTTAAGTATAGGGTCGTTAAAAAAAGAATACAATGTGTGAATGCTGTGGATTTGAAAACAGGCACACACAGTTCTTCTTGTTTCTGTCTAGTCCTGATTCATATATTTTTTCACTTGTTATTTCTTTCCATAGCATCTTTTATTGCTTGTTTGTAAAGCCAAACTATTCGACACACTGCTGACAGGAAAGTTCGGCCTGCTCTCAGGCTCCACGTCATGCTGTCACGGTGGCATGACAAGCCTCACTCTAAATAAGGGTGAAGCTGTTGCTAAAGTGATCATTTTTCAGGCAGAAGATGACCGCTCAAGTCCCCAAGTGGTCATCCTTCAACGAAGAGCTCCTTTTGTAAAGTCCCAGTCCGGATGATTAGATGGGAACCTTTTGCAGATATGATGCAAAAAAACAACTTAGAAATAATAAATAGAATAGAAATAAAATAAATAAATAGAAATAATAAAGAAACATTGAAAATGGGTTTTGTCAGCTTGTCAGGATTTGCCCTTTGTGGCTTTCTGAGTGCCCGACAATGTAAGCCTGGACATATTTTCCATGACAGCAGCACTCAGCATGCAGCTGCATTCAACTCCCCTTTCACTGTGTGAAACTGCCAGTTTGTGAAGAATAAATCATTCATTAATAGAAAACATGATTTGATGAAACTGCTTCACTACAACATGGACATAAAGTAAAAGCTGTGGTATATCTGTGTTCTGTGGCTTCGACCGGATCTCTACAACAGAGTCTCACTCACACACACCCCTCTCTCTGGGATTAGGTTAATTAATGGACACATAGAGAAGAAAAGATGGGAGCACCAAAGTAGACAAGATTTCCTCTCAGGAGGACTCATTTGTGGGAAAAGCAGGAACGAGAATGAGGGGATGTCTGTATTCACAGAGCTCAGGTCCTAATATTTCTTTAATCTTTGATAAGCACCAGCAAGTGTCGTAGTTGGATTTTTTTGTGAGCCTGCACAAATCAAATAACACACCTTTAACATCTACATCATGAGAGGTTCGATCTATTAATGAAGGGGCATGATTGGTGGAGAAAGAAAATAAAAGAATGTGAATATATTAAGTGGCGAGCATAATAAGGTGGGGAGTGGGAGGAGAAGGAAGGGGTATGTGGTTGGAGGAAACCGGCAAGAAGAAGGATGAAGTCGTGCAGGGAAGTTTCCTGGGGCTTTTGAAAGTCAGAAAGGATGGGAGGCAAAAACAGGAGGGGGAAACAAGAGAGCAGACAGTAAGCTCATTGGCTTCTAAGCCCCTTCTCTCAACCTACTGAGAGAAAAGGGGAAGGAGCAGAGAGCTCTGGGGACCTCTTAATGTGACAAACAGATGGCACATTGTGTTCACATTAGCATTTCTTAATTTGAAGCAGTAGCATGATGCAGTAATTGTGGGTGCGTGTCTGTGTCCAGAGTTATGTCCAATTCCGTCACTGATTAACCAAACGATCTATTTGTGGCCAACAAATGCTAACACATGTATGATATTACTGTTATGATGTGAGCCTACTACACAAAGCCGCAAACCCACTGCATTAGACTGTTTTGTATCCAGGTTCGCACCTCGTCTGAACTGAGCAGGGAAAAGCTTTTTCGGGGCGATTTGCATGTGATCAAGATGTTGCAGAAGTCACCGTGAGGGAAACTAATAATGACAAATCTGAGACTTTTTTCTTGTGATTGCTCCTGTGAAAAATGCTAGATGAAATCTCCCCATGTAATGACACGTGTCAAACCATTTGAAGACATTTAAGCAAATCTTTTTTAAATCAGACAACAAATAACCCTGGCTCTGGCATTTTGTTACTCACAGTCTGACAGTAGATGTGCATTCCTGTCTTCATTTTTATTGCATCGCAGCTATCACCTCGGGCAGGAATCGCAATGTTTGGACTGATACCTTGATCTGGCACTGAGTATTCTATAAATTGGGGTAACGATTTAGAATGTGAAATGCTATGAGTTAAAGTCTGGATTTTAGAGCCTTCAAAAGCTAAACTTCCAGTTCTTTGTACTCCTCTTTTTCAGCTTCATTTCTACACAACCTGCTCCCAAAACTACTGCTTCTGTTTTTCTGATGCTGAGCCATTTTTGTCCCCCCCCCCACCACACACACACACACACACTTTCCTTGGTTTCACATCTCTTGCCAAGTTGCTGCTCGGCTGATTCCGAGGTAGCACACCACCGCCGCAAGAATATTTTGGAGTAGTTTCCTCACCTGTGAGCAGCATCTGACTGAAACTCAAACTTGATAAATAATGAATAACAAGAAATAAATGATGAAAAGGAAGCTGACACCTGGGCGCCATCTGTGTCAAGAATGGTCCATGTTTGATTTTGATTTCTCTGCGTATCTGTCCGAGCTTTCCCTGCCTTTAATGGGAGGGAGCACTTTATCAATAAGAGAGGTGGAGAGATAATGAGACATTTTCCCAAAACCATTTCCTTTCCTTCTTTTCAGCTTCAGAATTAAGTGATTTTTTTTTCTTCTTGTGAGCTGTTTAAAAAAAGCTATAGGTTTTCGACCGGTGTGAGTCCTGGAACACAGTGAAACAGGCTATCATTATATTTTCCTCTCAGTCCTCAGTGACCTAAAAGATAAAGGTAGCGATTCTATCCTGGAAATGCCTTCCTGTTAACATCATTTTAGACTTTAACATGATTTGAGAAGTACAAACTTCTTATTCCAGCAAAATGTGGAAGGTGAGTGATGATACACATTCAACTGCGTTTTCTTTTTTTAATTTTCTTTGTACTTTATCTTGAATATTTCTATAACCCGAGTTTGTCATTAAGTTTTCCACGCACATAAGAAAAAAGGAAATGATTGGGTTTACCTTTACATAACAACGTTTTAGATTAAATCAAAACTTTTGCAGGAAAAACCTTTTCTACCATGCAACTCTGTGTTGGAACAGCAACTTTTCTGTGGCTTACATTCAGCACTTTTCCCCGGACATTGGATTATTTAGTAGGTTTTTGCAGAACGACAATGCTGGCTCAGCATATTCCAGTGCCTGTAGTCTGCTGTACAAAAGACATGGACTTGCATTTGTACAACACTATGTAATTGCACTCATATTTTTAGGCGCACAAGCTGGGATCATAAACTTTGGGCTGGAAATTTGAGATGCATGAACCCATCTTTGAGAAAAGTTAACATTTTCCTGGAGCTACTGGATCATTTAGGTGTGTTATTTTTGTTTTCCTTTGTGGGAAGTGCTCTGAATCAGTTGAGTATTCAGTGTGCTGGAAGCATGCAGAGCAGGAGCGAACATCAGTCTCTTTATGGGTGCAGACAGGGGAGGATCACACTACTCTCAGGCCACAGAAACTGGTTGCCAAAAAATTAATATTAATATTATATTAGTATATATATTATATTAATATAACCCCCTGACTCTCATGCAGCATCAGTCCAGCCATTGGTTGTTGATATGGTAACCCTTGATTGTATAGCCCATAGTAAGATATGCCACTCATACGACAGACCCATGCTTATAGATATGGAAAAAAAACTGTATTTATCCAAAATGAATGTTAACCTCCTGAAAAACCCTAAATACAACCTAAGGTTTTTGGTTGAGTGAAAAAAATGAGTAGTCATGATAAATTAAGTGACCTCCTAATTTTTTTTAAGACGTCTGTGTCAGAATTTCACGTGAAAATTAAATGTAAAAAGTGATTTATTTCAGCTTTAAGTTCCATCGTCTTCAGTTGGATCACAGCCTGAACCTGTTATTGATTCTTTTTCAGAGCGTCCAGCAGTGAGCTGAGCTCAGAGTCTCATCTTGAGTCATTATTTCATCTGCATTGTCAGAGGGTGAGAATGAATGGAAGGCCTTGCTGGTCAGTGCTTGTTTAACGACAAACATAGTTTTATTTCATGTTAAAGCTGCTTTTCCTTAGCAGGTGATGTGCCAATGACAAATGATTTGTGTGAAACGCTAATGAATGTATGTGTATTTTATTTTTGTCTTTGCACTCTTTCTCATTCAAATTTCAACATGATGGATCAAACACTGAAAACCGTCTGTAAGGTGAAGACTGTTTTTCTCATTCCCAATCTGCTGACCTCCCAGTTATACACTGTGTGTGTTTGTAGATTGATTAGGTTAAAACTTCACAAACTAGCTTATTTCTTTGTTCGAGTGCTTTCGAGGTTTCTTTGGTGCTGCCGTTCTTTTTCTGCGTAAAGAGAGAAATATCGAAAAAACAGTAATCATTAAACCACTTTGATTACAGTGATAATTAGGAAGCAGAAAGGCCCATCACATAAATGCTCCCAGACAATGCCATCATGTTAGTGTGAAATGACTCGCCTTTAGATTGCTCTCCACCATCTTGTTGAACGGGCCATATTGTATATTGTCACTGATGCCGTTGGAGGTGCAATCATTAACCCTGCCAGAGTGAGAAATCGTTATGCTGTCGGGGCTTGAGGGAAGCCAACACGTGCAGCACATCAAACCCACCTTTACTCACCTCCCAAACGATCTACGCTTTGTGTTGATGGCAGGAGTTTTTTGGGGCTGCCGCTTGTCACGGGATGACCTTCTTGAAAGATGACGATGCGAACTTCATCGCTCATGCTGCGATGCTCGCCTGGAAAAGCTTGTTTTCTGAACCGAATGGCTGTCATTTCAGCTTTGGACCCAGAAAAATTATATTTGTGGTCTAGAGGAACATTGCAAATATGTCACCAACGGTGGAAATTGCATATGGAAAGATTGAAGTGACTGAACATTTGGTTTGGTGCTGCCAGGTGACTTCTTGCTTCTGGAGATGGATGGGTAGATTTCCTCAAGTGGTTGATGGCAGAGTGAAATATCCTGCCCACCTCATTTGAATTTGAAGGAAGACTTTGCCTGTTTGTCACGAAATGCATGTGAATATTCATCATAAATTTGTTATGCGTCTCTTTTTGCAGACAGCAGTCTCTTGAAGGTTATTGATGGGGCCCATTTGGACTGTGTGGTGAAAAGACATCCTTCATTGCTGTCTGTGATGCATCTTCTTCCTGAGAATATCCTTGTATCCGGTCTTGACGACATTCCTGGACTCGCAGCATCTCCAACAGGTGATTTTTTATGTAACATTTGGTAAAGATGGTGAACTCCTTTTGAAAGAGCAGAAAAGGAAGATCTGATCCTGTTCCAGCGTGGGTGTATAAATATAAAAGTTTAGACATAAAGTGCATTCACCACACTTCTAAGAAAGCTGACTAAAAAGCTTTTTTATGGACATGTGTGGGATATTGATTTGTTATTTCCACATCCATAAAGAAAGTCAAAGTTTTGTTTGAATCCAAATGTATAACATATATCTGTGAACTCAGTGCATAGTGAGAGAAGCCTTAAGTTCAGTAGAAAAAGTGAAAGAAAGCAATTCTGTCAGACACATAGCGGGAGAGGTCAAATCAACAGTTTTGTGCATCTGAGGAAAAGGACAAATGAGGAGGAACTGCAACCCCACCAAAAAAGCCCAGATCCAACTGTTGGGATCACTGGTGAATAATGACAGTGTCTTTTTCTTTGCATGGATCATCACCTCCTCAACACACAGCTAAGAGAACAACACCCTCTGTGGAAGGTAGTTATTCCATCATCCAAGTCTTGCATAGAGAGAATACATGACCAATACAGGATAAAAATCAATGCACAGAAAGTTTAGACTAAACTTTGCAGCAAGACAACTTAAAAACCTCTTATGGTGCGAAGAATAGAACATAATGTGCGAAGCGTGTGTGTGCACTGTGGTGGCGTGCACGCCGGCAGCGGGTCACTGCTGCTGGAAACAGCACAGATGTCCACAGATAGCGGCAGGCTAAGTGAATGAGTGCAGGAAGTCTGTCGCCGGCAGAAGTTTGCTGGTAGACTTCATTGCATTAGTTTGAATGCTTTTGGAAGCCTGTATCCCGAATCCTGCTGCTCATTAGCAGCACTAGAGGAGGCAGCTGATGCTGAACACTGGCCTCCCGCGATGTGTGTGTCTAAAAATCGCGCTTAAGCTTCAACAAGAGCATCTGGGAGAACACTTTTTTTCCCTAAATAATTTTTCCCGAAATAATTATTTCCCATCAGATACCCATACAGAAATATAGTTATATATATTTAATTTCACAGAATTACACAAAACTGTGTTCTTACATGTTTTTTTTTTATGCATGTAAAATAAGTTCTTCTTGGTTCTTAAAGCCTGTGGAAAGGACTTTGTAGTTCTTATCGTTTCATGTGACGTATCAATCAGTTTAAAAAAAAAACACTTTATGAAGAATGTATGGAAACTTAAGAGAGAATACATCAAAGAATAATCACAACTTATGGCTACATGAGAACCTAAATGCAGAAAATGTGAGAATGAATGAAACAAGTTATTCTTTTGATCAGAACGGGGGGGTGCGGGGTGTACCCCGGACAGGTCGGCGGGTCACTGTATCATACATTTTTACTTAAATCTGCTCTGCAGCGTGTTATATCCAAAATTCTTAGAAAAATAACTGACATCCTATAAATAGGTCATTTATATTTTAAGGAATCACAAATCTTTAGGTCTCAGTGCGTTAACAGTAAGAGATACCAGAGCAAATCCCACATTCATTTTCAGGCAGCTGCCTTGTTTTCTGGCTTACCCATTAATGTATTTTTAATTGATTGAATAATTAAAGGCTATTCATTAATGAGCAATTTATTCTTAACTTCCCTGTTTGAGTTATACTTATTACTCCTGTTTCCTCATTGTTTTTTTTCCTGGCTCAGATTGCGGTATGAATTTGGTGGACTTACACTTATTATGAGGCTTCACAGGACTGCAGTTTATTTTACTAAAACATTTAGATCTTACCTGTGTTGTCCTTTCAGTTAATACTAGTCCAGCAGTAAAAGAAAAAAAATATCTCCCTGTGTGTTGGGATTTATTGGCATTGGGAGTAGAACCATACCAAATGTGCGTTACAGCAGCCTGATTTCTATTGTCAAAATTATCATAAAATGTAAAACAAAATTGAACTGGACATGGATGTAATCTGAATTCATTCCAGATTAATAAAGCACGCTCAAACCCATCTTATTCGGGACATCAGGTGTAATCTCATATTACATACTTCAGCTACGGCTCACTCATCTTCCGGCGGCTGTAACGATAACACACGGGACACTCATCAGGGTCCCCTTTTTTTTTCTTCCCCAGGAAACTTAGTTCCACCAGAAGTTAAAATGTCTTCAGTACTTAGGAAGTAAGTTTCTAAGGAGGAACGTAATGAAGTCTGACAGTGCAGAGCTATAATCATTGGGAGTCAGTGGGAGGTATGGTTGCAAGCTAATCCTCTTCATGTTCTGGGGCTGTGAGCAGCAGAGACCTAAGCTGGCTTTTAAGACCACAGCCACCCGCTTGATATTCGCATCGCATTCAGAGCAGCTCGCCTCTGCGCTCCAGAGACACGGGCTGCAAGGAAGCACTTGATGGCTGCACTCCTCTTGAGCAGATTCCAATCACACTGGCCAGTCTCTGTTTGTTTTGTCTGAAAGGGCTCATTGTGGACTTCACAGACTGTCTCACTTCATCCCTCTCCGGCTAAAATTCTTTCTTCACTTAATTCCAGTTCAATTTGCTTCCAGCTTCCAAATGGAAATAGCATTTGTAGGATTGATTGACATGGGCACTATTCTCGCCTGCATAAATATTTCCGTGATTGGCATGTGGCAGCTTACGCCAGTTTGGTCGCGCAGTTCTGTTGATGGAGTTGGTGCACCATTTATATTCAAAAGCAAAGAGTGATGGGGAAACATTTGCTGTGTTTGCTTATCCAGTTTGCGAGCATGATATTTGGCAGGAAATAGTGTTTGAGAGAATGAATTTTTATCTTTTCTAAATTGGTGGGGTAGGAAATCATGAGAGTCACAGTTCTCTGGCATCAGGTGCCCATTATGTGAATGTACTCATATTTTTTTCCAGCAGTTGTTAGGTTAAATGAGTTCTATGGAGTTTTTCGTTGTTTTGATCTTCAAAAAGGGTCACTATGGGGGAACAGCTTAAAACAGGCCAGGTGTATTTTTTTCATTTAAGATTATTTTTCTCACTTTTTGCATCTTTGGATGGATGTGATGTGGGCCTCTGCTGTTTATTTCCGTGCTTTTCACTAACTTCTCCTGTTCTTTGTCGTTATGCTCTGAAGCCTCAGTGATATTACAGTAAAATGCAGCCTGTCACTCAGAGTACCTCAGCTGTGTGTGTAACCTGCATTGTGCTCTGTGAAAAGTCTTTTTCCTTCTGTAGTTGAATTTTTTATGTTTGAAAGAGTTTTTCTTGAACGGTGTAAATTAATCAGTAGTTCTCCAGAATGTCAAAGATGCTGTAAGACATGTTTGATTGGGAATTACACAAAGAGTCTGCCGCTTGAATTGCTTTAGGAGAGGTTTTTTCCCCCACAGTAATCCCAACCAAACAGGCATTTTGTGAACAGAAAGCACATTTGAGAAAAACACAGAGGAACCAATTTCCCACTCAGTGGGGGCTCTCGGGGAGTTTGAAAACGTCTCGTAAATATTTGGGCTGCGTAGGTGTTGATGCTGTTCTCGCACTGTTTCCAGGAGATGCTCTGCTGAGGCCTCAGCTGCTGAAGATCATGCCCTACAGCCTGACCAGACTGACCGTCTCCCTCCAGCCTTCTCTGGAAACGTTTGAGAGCCTCCTGCTGCAGCTGATCAACGCCGACTGCCATAACACAGTAAGGCGGAGCTGCTGCCACACACACAAGCCTGACACCTCACACACGTGGCTTGTTTGGTGCTGTAAGGTGACCTGTTTTTATAGGAGATGTACGGCCATGCCTCATCATCTTTTGATCCATATGGGGATCAACATTTGCAACACTTGGAGGAGGGAAAATATAGCATCTTTGCACTCATAAAGCGAGAATGTCTTTTCCTCATCTCTCCCCTCTTTCTTTACAGCACAGGGTCTTTAAGGGTGAAGAGCATTTCTTATCCAACCCACTTTTATAACCCTCCTCTGTTTAGTTACATGCACACTGCAAACATGCTACCCTGATAGCGTTTCATCCCTCCGAGGCAACTGTTTACCACTCTCTTCAAATTAAAGATGGCTACGATGGGCCTGGCACACCTTTGCCGAGATTATTTTCTCCAGCTTGATGATTTCCTTTATCTCATTTTCTGTATGCTTGATGTGCAAACGGAAGCCTCTTTAACAGCTGCCACTGCAGTTTAAGGCATATCATCTCCAGATTAAATGGAGCTTATCTATTCACTTCCCCTGTTTTTTTGCCCGTGGAAGCCCAGATGGTTAACCTCATTTGACAGGTGAAACTTTGGACCTGCAAATCTATGAATAGTGGGTGAGTAATACATGTTCATTTGAGCCTAAATGAGATGTGTCTTTGATAGAAATGAGAACCGATATGACAACACAGTCCATCAATGTCTCACTGCTGTTTGCTACTCCCAGCCTGCAGCCTCAAATTAAAACGCAGAGCACCATGGAAGTGTTCACAGTTAATTAAGTAAAGCATATAGTAGTCACCAGAGTCCCACCTGCCAAATTCACTGTAAGCATGCCTACAATTACTTTAACAGAAATAACAGAGCAAATGTGATTTGATGAAAAACAGAAAATAGATTTAAGACAAAAAAATGACCTGTCTTTTAACCAACTCATTTGAATGTGAAGGAGTAGAGCAAAAGATTTAAACAACTAAATGAGTGGCTCAGGCAGCTCAGAGAGTAAGACTGGGAGATATTTATGCCTTAATTGCTGTTGTATTTCCTTTAGGTTTACTATTTTGCCTAACAGTCCCAGCCTTCATAAAAGTGCAGGTCTTCTGTTACGCTTTGCCAGTTGCTTTCCTCACAAACATCAAATCCAAATGTGCATATTACCCTTAAATTGTGATTTATTGTGTGGGCTCACACACTCTGCTGGTGAGCAGAAACAAAAACAACTATAATGGATGAATTTCTAAAACTCCTGCTATTGTTCTGTTGGAGAAGAAGGAATGTGGTGACCAAAAATGGAAAGGAACATCGAAATGCGGATGTAATCGGCAAGGTCCACGTCATCACATATACATCCCACCTGCAGAGGGTTTGGATACAAGGACCAGTTTGAGGCGAGTTGAGACAAACAGCAGGGATGTTGTCTAACTGCATACATGTAGGTTTTCACCCTCTTGTTGCCAGAGGCGCTGCTAGGCTACCTTCTGGTCACTACGGGGCCATTTTAACTACTGCAGAGTGTCTTCTGTGAGATAGAAATCCAGTTAGCGTGCCCGGAGGCTTCTAGGACACGTGTTACTCCTCTTCATTTCAAATGGTGAAAGGGGATTTCACACATACTTTCTGGGATTTCCACCAAGTAAATGCAAAAGCTGTTTATACAGACAACCTTGGGGAGAGGAATATGAAAACTTGCCAATATATCACAACTCTTCAACTTTAAAACTGATGTACTTTAAGATGTACATTTAAGCCACAGAAGGATTCGTTTTGGATGTCATTGTGCAAAGCTTTGATTAAAGTAAATCAGCTATGAGTTTAACATGCAAAATACATGCCCATCCTGGATGGGCATGTTCTAGTTGACCTTTTCTTATCAATGAGCACCCTAAACCTAATAGTTAACTTTTCCTCTTGGGTTATTTAGTAGTTCTTGGTAAATTGTGTATTCTCTTGAGTGTATGAATGCCACAGCTGGTGCTTTGGTCACAATTTCCCCTCAGTATATTGCTTTGCTTTCCTTTGATTTCTACTAGATTCTTCTTTTTGCTTTGTCCATCTCTTGTAAACCTAATTAGTTTTGGTCCAACAATAAAAAAATCTGTGCTAGTTATTCTTTTTCATATGAACTTTCTGCAAAGGAATTTTCATCTGCAGTAAAACAGTAAGAGTAAACGTAACCATTAAATATAGATATATGCTCAGATTTTTATTTAAGGGTGCGTTTGTGCAGAACTTTTAGTTTTCATTTGCTACTGCCCGTACTAATATTTGGCCTTAAGATGAAGACAGTGTTTGCAAGCAGCACCAAATAACTTTATCCTCCCTGATCTGGCCAGATCAAAATCAATTGTCAACAGATCCAGTTCTGAGTTTAATGCATATAATTGCTGGGAGGTAAAGAATGATAAAAGGAGCAATACAATCATACCAGTTATTCAGAGAGTTATAGAACTATGTAGTTACATTCTTTTTTAGATTTTTCATTTTAGAAACAAACTCCAATCCAGTCATCAAGTGAACCAGGAGCGATAGCTGCCGGTTGAACAGCAGCAGGGCAGCGACTTGTGCAGTTTTAATTTTCGCCACCTGCCCACTCACACGAACACACACACACCCAAACTCCTGCTCCTTCCAGGAACTTGGTGCACATCTCAGAGTCATACGGGTGTGTGTCTCTGCCCTGAGCGAGCACAGTCTGAAGCTTTTACTACAATAGAAACAATGTTTAGTTATTTTATGCTGGAAACAACTGCAAAATGTGCATTCAGCTGTGTCCATGTGCTTTTGAGAGCTACGTGCTGTGTGAATTTATCTGTTAACTGTAGATGAAGCATCAGCACCCCCGCAAATGAGCATCGGATTAGATATTCATTTTTTATAAAAGTTAGGTTTTTCTTTCTATTGACTACTTAATGTACACTTCTGCGCTCGCTCTAATCCTTTTTTCAGTCATTTATTTTTTTATTTGCACTCTTCCCCATGTCCCTCCCTTAAGGTTCAGTTTCACTAGCTAAATGTATTTCTTACACTTGCATAGAATAAATCCATTCCTTTCCTCTGGTAGGGCAGCTGGCAAACCATTGGGAAGTTGGATATGTAGAAGATCACATGATGACATGGTTGTATACTCCAGAGATTTATATAAATATGTTGGGGTGTTGCTTCTGTGACTTGGCAAACCATTGAGCTCATGCGTTCAGTCAGCACACTAACATGACACAGGGGACTACCCGGTACGTAATGTAGATGTGAACTCACATCTAGCCGTTCAGCTTCCATGTACAGATGCTCTGCTTCACAGAGACATGGCAAAGATTACATGGTATGTTGTTAACAAGCACTTCAATCCTTTCACGATTGCTTTTTTTGCAGCTTTGGATAGGTTTTTTTTTTTTATTCTGTCCGCAGAGAGATGTTGGAGTCTGGTATATGTTGCTGGCAGGCCTCTGTATGACATATAAAACTACTATCCATGCTGTGTTTAGGCGAAGGCTGTTTTTTTTCTCTTTTTTTGCTCTTGATCTCACATGTCCCATGAGAATTCTTTAACCTGCCTCCACCTCTCCCTGTATCCTGCATCCACAGCACATCTTTCCTAACTGTTGAGGGGTTTGTGGTCTTTCTGTGGATAATGGTTGGCTGTGAAAGCTCAGTCTGCTGGTGCCCTTTGGAAGCATCTCCTCCATTATCACGTTAACTCATTTTAACCGATGCCATAAAGTTATGAAGTAGACGGAGAAATCACTCAAGTGAGGCTGCTTTCAAATATAAATTAAACAGACCGAAAACAATCAGTGTTTTGCAGAACAAAAAGTTCAGTGGGAAACGTCAACAGAGCTGCTGGGATTTATAGTTAGAAATGAAGAGGCCTTAACTCTCCTTATTAATGTATACAATGTCTCCTTCTACATGTACCTTGTTCCAAAGACCCTCTTAACCTTTTTTGTCACACGAGCTCTTGATAGATTTGTTGCTAATGAGCTTCATTTGAACTCAGTGCGTATGATGTGCACAATCCCCCTCCCTCTAAATGGCAAACAATAGAAAGTTGACTACAACTTTCCGTCTGTGAGATAAGTGACTCACTGGCATGAATAATTTTCACAGCTTTCACAGTTGTTTTTTTTTTACCCTCTCATACGTGCACAATTCTCTGATGGTCCTCACAACCAGCTGAAGTTGCGTAGATCAGATCAGTCTTCTGGATTTTTATAACCACAGAGAGGTGACGACGTTCTCGCGTCTGCGAGAGGTGCTAATATATGCCGCAGTCAGCTTGATTGCAGCTTTTAATTAAGTTTGCGTACATGCCTGTGAGTGAGCGAGGTAGACGCAGGAAAAAAAAAGGGGTGCGTATGTGATCTGTGTGTGACCTTTAAATGTGTGACTCCAGCTGGATTGTCATCTAGCCGTCTCTGAAGTGATGCTGACACCTCACTTGACAACTCAGTTTCACTGTTTTGTGTGTGTGTGTGTGTGTGTGTGTGTGTGTGCGTTTAAACTGATTTTGAGGCAGAAATGGAGATGAAAAAGAAGAACCAATTGGGAGGGAGATGACTGTGAAGTGCAGCATGGGATGAATCCTTTATGCTGGCTGCTACTCTGACATACAGTCTTCCCGTAATCTCCCCATAAGTATAGCTATTTTTAGCTGAACAAACTATCCCTGTGTGGCTTCATTTTATAGTCCACTCTCTGATATATTATACAGTCAGTGCCCCAGTTGATGTGCTCTCCATGTGAACTACTGTGGCTACTAACAGCACCTTATTCTAATGAGAACTAGGCGTCTTCTCCAACCTCTCTAAATACCTTCTGATTCCCCGTTTAAAGATGCTGAGACTAATCATCTTCAAGGTGGCTTGAACATTTCTGGCCACCCGCACAAATCTGAATAAAGCCAGAGGGCTCGACAGCAACCTGTGGTACCTGCTCACCCAAAGCCTCGTCGAAACATAGTACTCTTGATGACAGAGCCTGAGATCTTGTC